CTTCACAGTCTCCTCTATTGATTTCCCCTCTTTAACTAGCACTCGACCGACGCCTCATCTCAATATTGCTCACCCTATTATACCAGTTAACACGGAAGATAGAACGCCGGCACCTATGATCAAAGACAACTAGCCAGCCTTTTCATGTCTTCCACTCTCAATGGCCAGGTATCACAGCCATGATGAAGGAGGACGGAGCGGACTGCTGATCAGTATACACGTCCTTTGGTCGAAAGCCAGCCGGATATCACGTCTACACCAAAAACGGCGTAAACTGGCATATGCCAAACGAGCCCTCTGTATCCGTGTTGAGATTTCGTCAGTGATCAACCCGTTGGCGCTGGCTGATGCACTTCCTAAATAAGTGAAGCGGTCAATGTGCTCTACCACTTCATTCCCTATTTCTAAGCTAGGAGTCAGTGGAGTCCAGTTCTGTAAAATCAATCTTACATTTGACAGCAGGAGCGAGTCGCATGTCAAACATTCAAAGATTACTGCACCTCAATTTGTTTAAAAGACTCTGAATTTCGTCATTGTTTTAACCTAGGATTGGGGACTATATCAGCTGCATATTCTAAGTCAACAAGATTATTCCCTGGTTGATAACAAGTCAACCCCTCAGTCCCTGAAGTCACCTAGGGTTAATTCCATTAGTACATCTATGATAAAATTGAATAGAAATGGGGAAAGTGGGCATCCCTGACGGACACCACTAGTTGTCACCACTTCAGATGACAACTCTCCGTAGGCTCTCACCTGGCTGGCTGCATGAGTTCGAGTAGATTGTCTTGATCAGTGCAATGTATTTCCCCGGCATTCCCTTTACAGCCAAACATCGTCAGAGTACCTCTCGGTCGACAGAATGACGATTGTTGGACGCCGACGGTAAGTATGCCTATATTCCATTCCAAAATCTGTCGAAGGGTGAAGATATGATCAATACACCTTCTTCCTAGAATTGAGCCTACCTAGTTTTCTCGTCTTTGTTCTCTCCGTGAGCATGATTATGAGCCTAGAACTGTAGATACCATATTATTCAAGCTAATCTTCCTATGATTATCGCAGGAAGATTCGTCTGCCTTCTTGTATTTCGGTATAATCAATAACTTACACCAGCCCAACAGCACTCCCCCAGGATGGTCGGGGGTGGGTGCTTTGCGCTGCGGGTTGGCCACCCCTCCGCACACCTCTTGAAATCCTCCCATATGACCGGGAGTCTTACATAGCCTCTCCTGAGGAAGTCCTACTCACTGCCTTCACGTGGCGGACGTGTTTTTCACCAAAGTGAGAGGGCGAAAGCGGATGCCCGGCGCTCTTCACCGGGTTGACTGTCCATTGGATGACAGTCTAGGGGAGATGGCTAAACCCTGATTCCAAACCTCCAGCGACTGGCGTATGAAGCTCACTGGAGCTCACCGGCAGACGTATGGACAAAGAGCTTGTTGGATGTCCTGGATGTCTGGCCCCATTCAAAAAGGCGTATGAACCGAACTCCGGTCACCGGCTGCCAATGAATAGTGGACTCCCTACTCCACTCCTACTGCCTTGTAGGTCACACTTGGTTGTGTAAAGGCTAGAGCTGCACTCTCGAACAACAGGTCGAGCGATTCTGGGGACTTCACTCGTACCAAATTCCCATGAAACTTCATGAACTCTCTTACAAACGACTCACACCATGCTACGGCGTTCCCGGTAAGCGACGCGCCCTGTGCTCACCCGGTGGCCAGTGTGAAAAGTAAGCCAGCTGGGAAATTAACACTTAGAAACCAACTATTTGTTGGCTGCTGGAATATTAGGACGCTGTTGGAACCTGGTAGCCAGTCTATCACCATGCGTTCTTTATACGACTACAAGGTGGACATAGCGTGTCTATCTGAAGTGAGGTTACCCGATCATGGCTCCCGCCAAATAACCGTACCTGGAACAGATTCTTCATTCTGGTTACTTCATAGTGGACCCCAGAATAATTCCGGACAACATGGGGTAGCATTTGCTCTCAGTAACAAAGCCAATAATGCCTTAATATTGTTCGAATCGGTCAACTCCAGAGTCGCAATCGCTAAGTTCAAGGGTTCCCCGCTGGACATTTCTGTTCTCGCTGTCTATGCCCCAACCCTCGACTCTGATGAAAGTATCAAAGACGAATTTTATGACAATCTTCAAGAGGCAATCAACAAAATCCCAAAGCGTGACGTTCTCATAGTAGCCGGCGATTGGAACGCCCGCACTGGCCCTTCAGACGACGCGACAAAACATATACTAGGCAAACACGGTCTCGATCAACACTGCCGTAATGGTGATAGACTTTTAGCTTTTTCTGATTACAATCGATTATATATCACCAACACTCGATTTCAACACCCTAGAAAACATCTTCTCACCTGGTATTCGAACGACGGTCGCACTGCACATCAGATTGACTACATCCTAGTGCGCTCACGCTGGATCTCCTCGGTGGAGGACTGCCGATCCTATCGTGGCGCAGAGGCCGGAAATAAAGGGGGATCACACCATACTCTAGTTAGGGCGAAATTCAAACTTCGTTTAACAACACGCCAGAAGGCGCGACCTCCGAAGCGTATCAATTTTGCCCCGCTTCAATGTTCGAAAAAGCGACAAGCCTTGTCCAAACAAATCCAGGTCGAACTAAGCGCCGCAGATGAGCCAACATCCACATCTTCTAATACACCTGAGACACGATGAAATCGTTTCAAAGAAGTAGTCTCTAAAGCTTCAATGTCGCATTTGAGTACGACATCCAACAAACAGAAAGACTGGATTTCAGAGCACACTATGCATCTATCCTCGCAAGCCAGAGACGCTTGCCTAGCAAAGTCTCCAGTTTATCGCTCCTTCAGGCGAAAAGCTACACAGTCTGCTAGGAATGACAGAAATCGCTATTGGTCTAATGTGGCGACTAAAATGAAAGCAGCATCAAATGTAGGCGATTTCGGAAAACTTTATCGCCTCATACGCCTATCATCTGGCAAACGCCTTAACAGCCATGCTGTGTTACGCACAGCATCAGGAGAAATTATTTCGGACACCAATGGTAAGATGGAACGATAGGCCGAACATTTCAAGCAGCTACTCAATCGCAACGCTGGTCAACCGTCTCATCGACCGACACGACACTTACCAACACCCTACGTAGTTGACTGCGATCCACCCACTCCAACCGAAATAGCTAAAACAATTAACAGACTCAGAAACAAAAAAGCTCCGGGTGAAGATGGTCTACCTCCAGAAATATACAAGGCCTGCACTCCAGCGCTAATCGATTCGCTGCACTCGCTGTTCTGCTCAATTTGGGATTCCGAAACCATTCCTTCCGATTGGAGCACCTCAGTTTTGCTACCGTCCCACAAAAAGGGAGACAGGTCAATATGTGAGAACTACCGAAGCATAAGTCTGACTGATATCGCTGCTAAGGTTTTTGTTTCCATTCTCCTGAACCGCTTCGCTGCCGAACGCCACGTGCGAACAAGGCCAAATCAAGCCAGATTTCGACCTGGAAGAGGCTGTTTTTATCAATTATTCACACTGCGACACAGGGACACAGGGACAAATTCCAACAGCCGACAGTTGCTTGTTTCATCGACTTCCGAGCGGCATTCGACTCAGTTGATCGAGGAGCACTCTGGTATCTAATGGAGCTCGACGGAGTTCCGACCAAGCTAATCAACCTGCTCAGGTCATACTACTCCAACACCAAAGCTCGAGTCCGAGTGAACGGTGAAGAGTCTCGCACTTTTGAGGTAACCAGCGGTGTCCGGCAAGGTTGTCCAGCATCCCCCATCCTGTTCAACTTCACAATTGATTGGATTTTGCGGCACGCCCTAACCGAGCACCACGGCGTCCAACTTTCACCCGATATTCACATAACCGACCTCGAATTCGCCGACGAAGTCGTGTTATTAGCTGAAAACTTCCCCGATATGCAACTGGCGCTGGATCAGATAAACCACCTCGCGTCTACTATCGGTTTGGAAATTAACACTTCCAAAACCAAAATGTTTTCGAACACATCCACCAGCAATGATGAAATCTTATACCTGAATGGAGCACCTATTGAAATTGTGCCATCCTTCAGATATCTGGGATCCATAATGCTTCCCAACGGTCAAGCGAAAAGCGAAGTGAATGCGCGAATCTCCAACGCCCGGAATGCGTTTCTTTAGCTGAGGAGCGTTCTATGGAGCAAGAGGGAAATCAGTCTCAGGACTAAAATTCGGGTTTACCAAGCCCCCATACGATCCGTTCTCCTGTATGGCTGTGAAACCTGGCCTCTTCGCGCGGAAGATGTACGCAGACTCGAGGTAGCAGACCAATGGTGCCTCAGGTACATTCTGCATGTTCGTTGGCAGGACAAACTCTCCAACGAAGAAGTGCGTCGTCGTTGCTACAACATCAACCAAATTCCAGTACTGGTCCAACAACGTCGCCTTCGGTGGTTTGGCCATGTTCTGAGCCGACCAGATGACGATCTGCTCAAATCAGTTCTAAATCCCTCACCATTACCATCTTGGCGATGTCGCAGGGGTGGACAGCTGAAAACATGGCTTGGTACAGTCAAGGCTGATATGGAGTGCCTGGGGCTACAAACCGTATACGGACTCCGTCTGTGGAACAAGAATTGGATAACCCTGTCGCAAAGTCTTGCATCAGATCGCCGCGCTTGGGCAGCGATGATTCGAGATGTCCATGAAGCCGGCTCATCCTCTCGTAGGAGATAGTCGAAGTAAAGTAAGTACTGCCTAATACCTACCTCAGTTAACGCATAAAGTAAACTGTCACCGCCGTCCTTAAACACATCTGGAGTCATTGCATCAGGTTCCGCTGGTTTGCTTAGTTGATTGTGCAGTTCGTCGGAAAGAATATTTTCCTTGCCGAAACCGTCTTTTTATCATTTTTGTATCATTATAACACCATTCCCTCCCACCCCCCCAAGGCAAGTTCATAGGAAAAATGTAAATAAAAAGCGACAAAGAGTACAAATAATAATAATAATAACAATAATAATAATAATAGCAATAGCAATAGCAATACAAAAAAGTTACGAATCAATTGTTTTTACACAATTGTTATTTGTTTCATGATTTACTAGGAGGAGTAGGAAGCGGCGAAAGCGGCGACGGCGGTGGTGGTGTGGAAGAAATGTTTGACAGGGAAATTTTTTTTACAATTCTGGATGTAATCGTTTAAACAATTGATCAGGATCTTCACTACACGCAGCAGGAGTGATTAATTGCATAACATATTCACATCGAGATGGTTCACTCACTGATGTAATTTTATTAGTATCACCACAGTGAACAAATACCTGAAAAAAATTGAGTGTATAAATATCAAAGTGAAGCATATGATAGAGAAAAAATTATGTTAACTCACTCGGTGTTCATCTTTTTAAATCGAAAGTGAAATGAAGAATTCCACCTACTATTTGAGTATACAGATTTGTGAAAAAACTCTCGAGAGATATGTTCAGAGATATCAACACAGTGAACATATCGTCTGCATATCTCCATGGTGATTTAGTAGAAGAATTAAACGTCATAAAAAGTTTACCTTCACAGTCTAGAAGAGAACCCAGCTAAGACATTATAGTGCATTCACTAACGCATATTATTATCATTATTATTATTGTTCCCTTGGGTTCCTAGTGGAACATAGGGCTTCAACTGCACGTCTCCGCTTGCTTCTGTCTTCTGCTGTACTTTTCACTTGCATCCATGTTAGTCCATACTGTTTCAACTCCTCTTCACATGATCTCCTCCATGTCACCCTTCGATGTCCCACTCGCCGCTTCCCTTTCGGGTTCCACTCGAGCGTTGGCCTGACGCGCGATGTCACCCCGCAGCAGCCTCCTCAGCTCAGCGAGTGTCCAATCCATCTCCAATTTCTCTTGCATATTTGTTGGGCAATTGGTTCCTGTTTTGTTTCTTCCCATAGTTTATTGTTGGTGATTCTTTCTGGCCATCTGATCTTCAGTATATAGAGCGAAGACAGTTGTTGATGAAGGTCTGCAACAGGCTGTTGGAAATATTCTTCGTGACCCGCCGCCAAGTTTCTGGTCAGTATAGAAGAACTGACTGACTTGACGTTTGTATTGGAAATCCGAATTTTGTTGATGCTGAGTGACGAAGATTTCCAGATTGGTTTCAGGTTGATGAATGTGTTTCTCGCCTTCCCGATTCTCCATTTGACATCCTCGTCCGTCCCACCTGCCTGTAGTTGAGACAATGCTCCTTAGATAAGTGAAAGAAGTAACCTCTTTCAAATCCCTCCCGTTGATGGTGATTGGCGCTGGATGTTGCTGTTGTTGTTGTTGGTTGGTTATTTTCATAACCTCCGTCTTGTGTATGTTCACATGGAGTCCTGTCTTCGCTGCTTCTTCGACCAGTTTGTCGGTTTTCACTTGTAAGTCTTTGATTTTGTGTGACATCAAACATAAGTCATCTGCGAAATCTATGTCTTCTACGTTCTTCACGTCGGTCCACGATATCCGTGTCGTCTCGTTTACTACCGTCTGACGCATAATCCAGTCCACCACAATTAGGAATATCATTGGTGATAATAAGCACCCTTGTCTGACTCCTGTGTTTACTACAAAAGCCTCGCTGAGTTTTCCGTTGTGGATCACTCGAAGGCAGTACCGCATATAATCATACAATATGGTGGGATAGAGTGAAAGTACTAAGAAAGGAAAATATAATTAGATGGAAAGATAATTGTTATAATTATACCGAATGCTTTGTTCATCCATCCAACCTACATTTAAAAACAAGTGCAATCGAAATGACACAATGTCTCTACCCGCAGGTGAAAAATTGCAATAATGAACAGACAGATAGAAGTAAAACTGTATACATTGATATGATTATGACCGATAAATTGTGTTCGACACGTCATCCAGTTAGTTATTCACACGGTATCATTGCGTTACATTAAACACACACTTATCTAACATAAAACATCTCGAATACACCTTATTATTATATTATTATTGTTTCCTTTAATTCCTAGAGGAACATAGGGCTTCAGTCATGCATATCCATTGCGTACGGTTCTCTGCTAGAGTCTTCACCTGGCTCCAAGTCTGCCCACACGTTTTCATCTCCTCTGCACATGACCTCCTCGAAGTCACCCTCACCATGCACTGACGACCAACTCGCCACTTCCCTTTCGGGTTCCACTCGAGCAATGGCTTGTCTAGTGATGTCACTTGATGGTTTCCTCAGAGTATGGCCAATCCATCTCCATTTCTTCCTGCCTATTTGTTTCACAATCGGTTCCTGCTGAATTGGTTCACTCCCAAAGACCTCTGTTACTGATCTTTTCTGGCCGGCCATCTGATCTTGAGTAGTATTGAGCGAAGACAACTGTTAATGAACGTTTGTAGTTTGTTTGAGATGCTCTTTATGACGCGCTGGCCAAGTCTCTGATCCGTATAGTAAGTAGCACTGACTTCACATTGGAGTTGAAAATCCGGATCTTATTTTTGATGCTGAGTGCTGTTGACCTCCACACAGACTTGACGTGAGTAGTGAAAGCTTGTCTTGCTTTTCCGATTCTTGCTTTGATATCCTCGTCAGTTCCGTCGGCCTGTAGTCGAAACGATGCTTCCCAGGTAGGTAAAAGAGGTTGTTTCTTTCAGGTTCCTTCCATTTATGCTGATCGTTGTCCGTTGTTGTTGTTCTTGTCCAGGAATCTTCCTTACCTCTTTTCTATATGTTCACCTGAAGTCCAAACGTCTCTGGATGCTTCTTCTGCAAACTTGTTGCTTTTCGCTTGCATACCTTCCAGTTTGTGGGAAATCAGACATATATCATCGGAGAAGTCCAGATCCTCCAAGTTTTTTGTGTGAGTCCATTTTATGCCTGTTTCCTCATTGTCCGCTGTTTTTCGCATTATCTAATCTACTGCAATCAGGAAAATCATTGGCGATAGTAGGCAGCCAGCTTGTCTTACTCCTGTCTTCACTTCGAAGGATTCCGTAAGTTTCCCGTTGTGGATTACTTGGCATGCAGCATTGTCGTACAGCTGTTGGATGAGACGAATACACCTTGTTACAGGTGAAATCTTCCATATCAAGCATTCTTTACTCTTTCCAGGATGATGTGACTTAATATTTTGCTTCGAGTGGAGAGAACAATGATTCCTGCTGCTTTCCCGGCTATTAATTCAATGGTTTTCAGGATTTCTCGACTAATTTTTCACGTTTTGGTGTTCACCGAAAGTTAAGTTTGCTGGTGGTATTTCTGGACGAGTTATAGGTAGTGACTGGTTCATTCAAGAGTTTGTTGGAGTGATCAGCCCAGTGCTTCCTCCGATAGCGACCTGACTATTTGATTTAGTTCTGTGAGGTCTCTCTAGCAACCTGTTCTGCTTCATTTGTTAGTGTGTCGTACAAACATCATTTCTTAATGTACTTGTGTTCTCTAAGCTAGCTGGATAGTTTATTTGCGTAGCTTTCATTGCCCTACTAGGCAACATCTTCAGAGCATACTTCAATTTGATTACATTGTCAAGTACAAGACAGAGAGTTCTCAAAACCAAGCTAACCAAAATTAAAAAACAACAACCAGACAAGCACCTATTGACTGCGTAATCAACCTATCAAAACAACCATTATCAAAAATAGAACAACACAACTACTACAAAAAGGATTAAACTACAACACTGGAGACGTTTCAAAAACTGATTTCGTCGACGCTCTTGAATCATGACTCAAATCATCAAACTTGAACGAGGGGACACAAGAAGAGATACGCCAAACAATCGTACCAATGGTAAAACAGAAAAAACAACACACACACAACTCAACTCTCAAGAGCTAAAGGCCCTCAAAAAGCTGAAAAATAGGAAGGATATCGTCATCCTACCAGCTGACAAAGGAGAAGCCACAGTAGTCATGGAATACACAAGAAAGCTGAAGAACTACCCAAAGATGAGGATGTATATCAACAACTCACAACAAATCCCATACGAACACTAGACAACCGCATCCAAAGAACCTTAAACAAGCTCACCAAAACAGGTCAGATCACAAAACGTCATTTCTCTTTCTTATCACTGTTCTTCACTGTTTTTTTTCACTACTGTGAAGGTTGTACTCAGTTTCTCTTACCGCTGTTCATTATCAGCTCCACTACCTCTTCTCTTCTCAATCAGTTACCATATGTCTGTAATCAAACATTCTCTCTCTCTTGCCTTTTCTTCCTTCTTAATGAATCTATGCAGGTTTCTATCCGCGTCACTTTAAGTTTTTAGGTGTTTTTCCATGCAGACGTTACTTTCTCCTGATAACTGTTGTGAAGGTGTCATTCGTAACTTCGTCTTTTAACTTCCTAGGGTTGACTTGATTGGGCTATCTCTAGCTTATTCGAAGGCTTTCAACTTGATCTTGAACCCTTCCCAATGTTTTATCCAATAAGCTGCGTCTCCACCTTCCTGAGTCTACGATTTTGGCGTGTCATCCTGATGATACTCACTTCAGAGCATATATATTTAACACGTATATACGTATTAAAGAAAAATACCTTCATTAACCAACTTAAAAGTAAACTTCAATAGGTGATTAAGTCTTTCTTGAAATCATACCTTTGTAGATCTAGTTGGTCCATTCCAACAGCTCATTCCATTTTCATAATACATAACTTCATAAGATTTTTCATTTGTATCACCTTCTAACCAACGACCCCATCTACCAATACATGTGCCTACATCGGATTTCGATGAACCAAGTGGTCTTTGATGAACAGATTTGAAAGCGCATAGACTGTAGGTGTACTCTCGATCGTCTACTTCTAAACAACCATCCGGTAACTCGGTCAACATACGAAAGCCTTCCTCTGGACCATAATCAATTGAAACGGGAATTGGTTTACTGTAAAAAGAAGAAAAAAGGATGAAATGTGGAAAATTAATGTTTAACTTCTAAGCATGTAGTGTGAAAAAGAAAAGTGTTTCCACCGGATTCACTTAATGGGGAGCGAGGACAAATACTCGCCACGGATGACATCGGCTGAGGTAGAGGTTAGGACTAATGGGCCAGTGGCTGAACGGTTAACGAGCTTGACTTGTAACCAGGAGATTCTGGGTTCGAACACTGATGATGGGTGCTTGCTGAGGATGAGTCCCGAATTCGGACGAAACAGATGGCCAGCACTATCAGGTTTTCCAATGGCTCTCTAACCGATGTCCGCTCATGATGAAATGCAGTAACAATCATAATATTAGACATTCTAAACGACGTCATCGGTTTCGATCACTCTAAAAGATAGCTTCCCATAAAACTATGTGAGTTTGAGTGATTTCTTGATCACCATAATATTCTAAAGAATTTACACGGAACAGATTTCTTATTTACAAGACTATTTTATAAACAGGCAATGATATTATCCACAGCTGCCTATTCCGAATTATTTTATTTATTTAAAACACAAAACCTAGTACAGTACAGTATAGGCGCCGAGAAGATTATTATTATTATTACTATTATTATTATTATTCCCTTGGATTCCTAGTGGAACATAGGGCTTCAACTACACGTCTCCACTTGCTTCTGTCTTCTGTTGTACTTTTCACTTGCATCCATGTTAATCCATACTGTTTCAATTCCTCTTCACACGATCTCCTCCATGTCACCCTTGGACGTCCCACTCGCCGCTTCCCTTTCGGGTTCCACTCGAACATTGGCCTGACGTGCGATGTCACCCAGCGGCCTCCTCAGCGACTGTCCAATCCGTCTCCACTTTCTCCAGCGAGGTTACCGAGAAGATAAGCCACACAAATTGTCAGTGTGAGAGCTGGGATACTACCGGGGCACCCAGATCGAAGCAGGTGGTTTTCTTAAGGGACCACTCCCCCTCTCCAAGCCTCTGATTTGAAGTCTCATTCGCAAGGCAGCGAAGCAGCGTGAGGAGCTACGTCGCCAGTGACCAATACAGCTTCCTACGCCATTCGATCCGTTTGGATTCTGGAACCCACGTACATATTATGGCAACTGCTTTTTGAATAAACCGCTATCCAGACAACCTTTCTGACATGGTAGGACCTACAGGAACAAAAGTCACAGTCAGTGTAGTTTGTGAGGTCATTGCGGTATGCAGGCATAACCACAGCGGCGTTATCGGTAATGCTGAACTAGGTGAAGAAGGACTCCGACCCGAGACCTATTGGCTATTAGTCGAGTTCTTAAGCCAATGGGCAACACCCCCAGATTACCATAAATATAATCCCCCATCACTTCCTTCACAGTCAGTCAGACGAGGTCACAATACTTCTCATCAGTCCAGAAAACCCACCAGCATGAGATTTGCTGGTTAAACGAGTCAACAGACGGTAAACAAGCTGCCTGGTGAATACGATTAACTGTAGCAGGAGAATGAGTGAAAAACAGAACTTTGTTGTTTTTTTTCTTTTAGAAGTATGTTGAGGCCTGCCTCCTACTTACCGACTAGCAACCCTACTGAGGTTGAATTCTTCTATTAACCACCTGAAAAAGAAGAAGAATCAGTTTTGCTTGATAGATGAGCCCGAAGAACCACAGCTTGAGGTTAGTCATACAGAAAGCCTATTGGAATTTATATTGTTGCATCCGTACCAAAAATCAACTACGGAGCAGTGTAGGATAAGCAGGGATATGGAAGCTTTAAGGGGGGGAGGGGCCTTTCCTAACCCTACCTCTCAGAAGCATGAAGGCAGGATGGATGGCTGACTTACTGATAGTCCAAGGAAAACATTTATCTTTCAGAAGTAAGATCTCGTCCGTACAAACCTCTATCACATAATGTAAGGAACCTACACAATAATGAGAACCGCTCTCAGAGCAATAGCACACAGACGAATAAAACTTTTTGCAACACAAACACAATGGGTGACAGTAAAGCCCAGAGAGACTTACAGTTGAGAATCGATAGGTTCTTCATGACTTGGTAGTGCTTCTATAACAAAAATCAAAAGAGTTAAGAAAAAAAGAGAAAAAAATGTCAAATCAGAAACGACAATACAAAAAAATTCTACTCAATCACTTCATCATATGGTATACACAACACAATTCAACTATCAAAATATAAACATAGTGGTGAGAAACAAAGACACTATGAAAACAACAAACAAGTATAATAATACACTAATGAAGGAGAACAGCTTGTCTTTTTTTATTCCTTTACGTTCCCCAGTGGGACATAGGGCTTCAAGCTAGAGGTTCGAAGTTTCCGTAGCAGTGGTGTTTATTTTTACGGGATGGGGTTGCTACCTTTCATATCCAACATTCCCTCTTTACCAGTATTATTACTGGCCTAATGAGGTAAAGGAGTTCGTCAGCTGGGGATCGAACCCCGAACCATGTCCGTGGTCGGCGAGCATTCTACCGCTACCGACGCACCAGATGCTATAAAGTTACATTGATTGGGATGGCTAGGTCACATACTGCACATGCCTAACCATCGCCTCCCTCGACAGACGGGCATTACTAGCTGATATAGGTGCAGGTTGGAAAAGAGTAAGTGGTGGCCAAACAAAAACATGGCCTTATCAATCCATGAAATCCTTGACAGTTAAACTGAGTCAGGTAGGGAGGGAGATGCAGACTTCCGGGTTAGGTCCCTCGGGACTCTAAGTAAGAATCGATGGCTGGAGACAATAGGTGACATGGCTCAAAATCGTTGTCAATGGCTTACACAGATGTATTGAGTCTCTGTAATCTTTCATATTCCTTTCTACCATTACTCATTCTGTTTCACTCTTATACTTATCTAAATTCTATTGATTCTCTTCTCTCATTTTCCTGTCTACCTTTGTGTGCTATTTGGATCGTGGCAGCTCGAACTGCTGCACTTCGGTTCTATGTTGAATCCAGACAGACAGACCGACGCACCAGCTAGATGAAGGAGTCCTAATTACTGAGCACCTGGATGACATGTTTTTGAATTTCACCTTGAAATAGCAATGCACCCAAAATGTACCACTTTACATGACCAACTCAAAGATTCGCACGACACGAGCAGATCAATAAAGCTTGGGGACTGGTATTTTCTAATGGATTCGCAGAAAAGATAATGAACACTATTGACTCTAGGTTGAGTCAGATGAATAAAAACGAATAACAAACCTTAACCTTGAGAGAGAAACTCACCAACCAATCAATCACAGTAGACTTAACGTGTGCAAATACGATTTGCAGATATATATGGCTTAACTTTCTAAGAAAAGGTCACAAGCAGGAGAGAATAACCTTCAGCAAGAGAACAACCAATCAGAAGACGTTGCTTCTCTGCTAACAATAACGCTAATAATAATAACAATAATGCACATAAAATCTATAAATACCTCTTGGTTTTCTGAATAAATAATCTGTCGCCTGGCCCTTGTTTTCTGTCGTTACACTACTATTACTACTAGTACTACATCATACACACATTATCAATAGTACTAATTAATTAGATATCACATATAATAATAATAATAATCTGGCCTTAAGCGCCAATAATAATTATTTTACTATTATTTTTAATTAATAACACTATAAATGTATACTCTTTTATTCCATAATTATTAGAAGAAAAACCACAAATAAATTCTTCATTGAATCAGCGTATTTAATTAAAGATACGATAGATGATAGTGGCCTTTTCATCAATCACATTGTTGTTCTAATAATCGAGGAAGGTGAGTTCACCTATTCTTTTTCTTTTTTTTTTTGGTGACTGCTCTTTTTTTTTGTCTGTATTAAGATTTAGCACAAAGTAAGCACAAAGTACATACACCAATGATAATGTTAAGCATAAGAGATAAATAATTTACTAATCAATTGAGAGAGATGTACACTATTAATTAGGATTAAAATTATGCAAAATGTTGAGAGTGAGACAAAAAGAGAGAGAGAAAGTTTTAATTCAATAAAAGGCTTTATTTCAACTTAAATTTCTCTTCTCCTTTTTTTTATTATTTAAGCAGTATCCAAGAAGAGGGTTTATTGATCATATCTTCAACCATTGACAGATTCTGGAACTTATGGCATACTTACCGGCGACCAGAGATTATCATATTTCTTGACCTGATGAAGGTGGCATACGATTCTGTGAACCGAAAGGTCTGTCTGTCTGTCTGGATTCAACATAGAACTTGGCACTGATGTCCAGCAGTTCGAGTTGCCACGTTCCAAATAGCACACAAAAGTAGACAGAAAGATGAGTGAAGAGAATCAATAGAGTTTTGACAAGTGTAAGAGTGAAACAGAATGAATGAGTAATGGTAGAAAGGAATATGAAAGATTACAGAGACTGAATACATCTGTGCCATTGACAACGATTTTGAGACATGTCACCTAGTGTCTCCAGCCATTGATTCTTAGAGTGAGTCCCAAGGGCCCTAACTCGGAAGTCTGCATCTCCCTATCTGACTCAGTTTAACTGTCAAGGATTTCATGGATTGATAAGGCCATGTTTTTGTTTGGCCACCACTTACTCTTTTCCATCCTGGACCTATATCAGCTAGTAATGCCCGTCCGTCGTGGGAGGCGATGGTTAGGCATGCGCAGCGCGTCACCTAGCCATCTCAATCTATGTAACTTTATAGCCTCTTCGATTGATTTCCCTCTGCCCAACACTCTACACCTAACGCCAACATTACTTACCTTATTATACCACCTAACGTGAGAAACAGATCGTAGACATCTATGATCAAAAACAGTCAACCTTTTCATGTCTTCAACTAGTATTGACCATGTTTCAAAGCCATAGAGAAGGACGGAGCGAACTGATGAGCAGTACACACGTCCCTCGGTTGATAGCCGAATGTCACGCCTACGCCAGAGACGGTGTAAGTTAGCGAACGCAGCTCGAGCTTTTTGGATCCATGCTGAGATTTCGTCACCAATCAATCCGTTGGTGCTGATACAACTTCCCAAATAGGTGAAGTGGTCAACATGTTCTATCACTTCACTCCCTATCACTAAGCTAGGAGTTGACGTCGTCCAGTCAGTCCTGTAGCAGCATCTTACATTTCACAGGGGCGAATCGCATGCCAAACATACGAAGATTGCTTCTCAAGGTGTTCAGAAGACTCTGCATTTTGTCAGCACCCTCCCCTAACAGGACTATGTCGTCTGCGTATTCTAAGTCTATAAGACTATTCCCTGGTAACAAGTCGATTCCTAAGTCGTTAAGTTCAGTTAAGGATACTTCCATTAGCATATCTATGATGAAGTTAAACAGAAAAGGGGAAAGTGGACATCCTTGACGGACACCACTGGTTGTTATCAATTCAGATGAAAATTCCCCATAAGCCCTTACACGGCTACGTGAGTTTGAGTACAGTGCCTCGATTAGTACAACGTACTTTCTTGGCACTACCTTCACAGTCAAACATTGCCATAGTACCTTTCGATCCACGGAGTCGAAGGCCGCCTTCAAGTCAAGAAATATGGCAATTGTTGGACGCCGAAAAGTGTGTCTATGTTCTAGGATCTGTCGGAGAGTGAAGGTACTATGCTAGGCAATGTTTGATCGTGAAGCAAATGACGACGAAATACATTGCACTGATCAAGAAATTCTACTCGAGCTCATGCAGCCAGCTAGGTGAGAGCCTACGGAGAGTTGTCATCTGAAGCGACTCAGGAATTGACTTCTTACCTGGGAAAAGCCTCGCTGACTTAGAATATGCAGATGATAAATATGGTCCTCAATCCTAGGTAAAGACGCTGGCAAAATTCAGAGTCTTCTGAACATATTGGGGTACGGTAATCTTTGAATGTTTGACATGCCACTCGCTCCTGATGTCATATGTGAGATGATGCTCTACAGGACTGGACTACATTGATAAAGATAGGAATGCGTCATCAATCAGTCCATTAGGACTGATGTAACACTTCCCGAATAAATGAAAGCATTAACATTTTCAATCATTTCAGTCTATATCTTTAAACTAGGTTGCGACGCAGGCTAGTTCTGCCCTGTCATCTTCCATTCAAGAGAGGCTCATCGAATGCCAGACATACCAAGATTTCTGCACAAAGTGTTCACAAGACTCTGCATTTTAATAACTGAATACCCAAAAGTTTTTTTGTTGTTTTTTTTAAATACGGTTGAGACATTCAAAAGAGGGAATGGTTTCATTTATCCGCTCAATAACAATTACTATAACTAGTATTATTACAGTAAATGGGTCTCGCAACTTAGGCTGTAGAGCACATGACTAGCAGTGTAAAAGCCACTCGTTCAAGTCCCATAGCAACCTAGATTTTCACTCTTCACTTCCCTACACTCATTACATTATTAGTAGTAGTTCGTCAATTTATTAGTAGTTAGACAACCATTGAAAATCAGGGAGTACTGGATAGCTGTTTCATCCTATTCTGAAGGTCATTGTCAGTAGGCACCCACCACCAGGGTTCGAACCCAGGACCTTCCGGTTACAAGTCAAGCCAGCTTATAAACCATTCAGCAACTGTGACCCGACTCCTCAATGGCCAGCATGTGAATTCTAACTTCTACCAATCCGTGATAATTTAAGGCGACCACCAACCAACGGCAATGAGGAAACAGGCATAAAATGGACTCACAAAAAACTTGGAGGATCTGGACTTCGCCAATGATGATATATGTCTGATTTCCCACAAACTGGAAGATATGCAAGTGAAAAGCAACAAGTTGGACGAAGAAGCATCCAGAGAAGATAGAACTTCAGGTGAACATAGAGAAGACAGAAGTGATGAAGATTCCTGGACAAGAACAACAACAGACAACGATCAGCATAAATGGGAGGAACCTGAAAGAAACAACCTCTTTTACCTACCTGGGAAGCATCGTTTCAACTACAGGCCTACAGAACTGATGAGGATATCAAAGCAAGAATCGGGAAAGCAAGACAACCTTTCACTACTCTCAAGTCTGTGTGGAGGTCAACAGCACTCAGCATCAAAACGAAGATAAGATCCGGATTTTCAACTCCAATGTGAAGTCAGTCAGTGCTACTATACGGATCAGAGACTTGCACTGCGCGTCATAAAGAGCATCTCAAACAAACTACAGACCTTCATTAACAGATGTCTTTGCTCAGTAGTCAAGATCGGATGGTCGGCCAGAGAAGATCAGCAATGGGGACCTGTGGGAGCAGACCAACCAGGAACCGATTGTGAAACAAATAGGCAGGAGGCAATGGAGATGGATTGGCTGGCCATACTCTGAGGAAACCATCAAGTGACATCACTAGACAAGCCATTGCTCGAGTGGAACCCGAAAGGGAAGCGACGAGTTGGTCGTCAGTGCAAGGGTGACTTGGAGGAGGTCATGTGAAGAGGAGATGAAAACGTGTGAACAGACTTGGAGCCAGGTGAAAACTCTAGCAGAGAACAGAACGCAATGGAGACGCACGGCTAAAGCCCTATGTTCCTCAAGGAATTAAAGGAAACAGGAATAATAATAATAATAGCCAACCAACGTCATAGGAAGGAAATTCATCCTCACACGGGAATGAATAGACCTAGCTGGTCACGACTTCACCCTAGAACCCCTAGAAACTCTGTCCTGTAGCAAGTCACTAGCGAGCATCAGATTAATTTTAAAGAATTGTAAGGAGTAGACTTGTTTTTACGAGTTGAGAACCCAGTGGGTGCATACTGCCAGTGATTCACAAACTAGGATGAGACAACTGTTCAGTACTCCCTGCTCGTTCTCAATGGTTCTCTAACTTCTATCAATCCGTGATCAAACACGAAAAACAAATCTAATCCTTACAGATCAACTCTTGAAAATGTATTTTTATTTTATTCCTTTGCTTTTCCAGTAGAACACAGGGTTTTAAGCTAGAGATTTGGATTTTCAGTAACCATGGAGTTTGCTTTTACGGGATGGAGTTACTAGCCTCACCCCCTCAACCTTCACTGTTCACCGGGCTTAATGGCGGCAGTCAGGGCTAAAAACTTGCATCAGTCATGAATCAAACTCCGGATCACTTGGTCAGTGTCCTACAACTGAACGACCAATACAGTTTGTTAATGCATGTAGCGGGTCTAATCATCAATTAATAATTTTAATTAAAAAAATATACACCTACCAGGATCGTGTCGACTATCATCATTTTGTTCATCGTGATGATCATCTTCATCATAATGATGCTGTTGATCTGGTTCCTCTAAATCAAAATGATGTTCGTCATCATGATGTGGTTCAGAAAGTTCATTCTCTTCATTGTTGTGTTTAGGCTGTTGTTCAACTGCCTGTGTTGCGTGTTCTTTATTATCATTATTATTATTATTATTATTATTATTATCATTATTGGATAAATGAGGTTGAGCACTGTCTTCATTGCTTGGTAGTGGATTTTCATCACGACTAGTCTCCAATTGTAAATTATGATGAGAATCATGTTGCTCTGTGGGTTTTACTTCTTCAAAAAGTCCTTTAGCCTTGCGTTCTTTTAACTGGTTTGTAGGAAAGAAAAATTATACATGAATTACACTCGTTGAGATCTACATGATTTGAATTAAAATTAGCTAGAGAAGTACTTATTATTATTATTATTATTATTATTTGCTTTATTCCAGAAACAGTACTAGTGGTACAATGGAATTCTCAGCAAATATCTACAATATTTGCATCTAATTTTATCTAACATTTAAAAGGAGCATTTCAAAAGATAAATATAAAGGCAACAACAAAAAAACCACAAAAATAATTTTTTTTAAATACGAAAAAATACCAAGGAGTGGAAAGGAAAATAAACATAAAATAATATCTCAGGGTTGTTTATTTTATCAGGTCTAATGCAGTGTTTGTGGTGGTAGTGTGAGTAATCCTGCATAATACAAAAGTTTTTAAGGTGGTGACTATGGCGTTCACAAACAATGATTGTCAGTTAATATTGCCGAACAAAAAAAAACAACAACAACCACAAAAACTAATAATTACATGATGGTTAATGACAGGACAATTTTATAATACTCATAGTGCTAATATATTCCGAACCAGTGGATACACAATAGAAGGAATATAGTAAAGTACAAAAAAGGAAGCCAATGTTAATATTTTAGGTAGCTAAGTATGTTTAAGAAGGAGTTCACTAAAGAATACAAAATAGGAGAGAAATAAAAGAACCTAAAATTATGTTGTTAACAACAAAGCAAGTCATAGGTTTCGCGCTTAACATTGTCTCTGTCACTTAGAACACGGGCCAAATATGGTATCGTTGAGTTCCTGTACTTGGTTGTACGAGCATAAATTATTTTATACCAATTTCTGGTTCTACTTGATGAGATACAAGGCGAGAGTTGGGAATAGAGGGGGTGTTTGGGGTCGGAGAGTGTGGTTTTAGATCATTTTTCGCATGTATTCAGATGCCTTTCAACTAATGTAGTGACGAGCTGACTGAGTTTTACACCACTAGTCCTACTAACTACCTTCAACATCCTTCTCAGGATGGTATAGTCCTTTTTCAGTAACCCAGGAAAGACTAACGGAGAGCAGTAAAGTAGAATAGGTAAGATGCGAGAGTTGACAAATTGTGAAAGTAGAGGTTGGGTGATTCCCGATTGTCTTAGTTTATTAATGTAGTAGATTAGACAGAACACTTTCTTAGAAATCGTTAGGATATGAGATGTCCAAGTAAGGTCGGAAGATAGAACTAGACCGAGGTATTTTGCATTAGACTTAGTTTCAATTTTAGTCCCCTCAATGCTACAGGCTTCATGAGTACTTACTAGTGTTTGTAGATCTCGTTTATGCCTAAAGCAGAAGTCAATAGTCTGAAATTTTGAGGGATTCAGCCGAGGCCATGTAGTTTAGACCACTGACTGATGTCCGACAGGAAGCTATTTAGTTTGAAACTGTCTGACTGAGACTGAACGGGAAGCGAAACAGTCAGATCATCTGCATATTTGACGAAGTTAATTTCATCTGAAAGAGGTAAATCATGTAAGAAGAAGGAAAAGAGAAACGGAGAGAGAACAGCACCCTGAGCAACTCCAGTTTCAGTAAGCAAAGGGGAGGAAGATACACCATTATATACCGTGTACTGCATCCTATTAGAGTAGTAAGAGTGCAGCCAGTTGATAGCCCAGGACTCAGTTTGTATAAGGCTAAGTTTGTTTAACAATAGTCCTATAGGTACAGAGTCCAGAACAGATGTATAATCAAGGAACGTAGAACGGACATATTTGGCCCCTTTGTCTAAGGAGGATACAATGTTGTGATGAAACACAGCAGCAGCGTCCAAAGTACTTCTACCCTGTTTGTAAGCAAACTGCTTTGGACCGTTTGAGAAACTTAGGGAGGGAACAAGTTTTAGTAACAATGATTTCTCCATTAGTTTCAAAAAAGGAGAGGTAATAGCGATATGTCTAAACTTAACATTATTACCAGAACCTGACTTGGGTACAGGGATGATTTCAATATCTTTCCACAGAGAAGGTACAACATTATTAGAAAAAGAAGTGTTGAAAATGTTTGTAAGTGGGTTACTTAAAATATCAGCACATTTCCTTAGGACAATGGCAGGAATACCATCAGGGCCTAGACTCTGGAAAGGTTTAAGAGATTTTAAACATTTAAGAACATCAGAAGTTTTAAAACTATTAAAGTCACTGGTCATGTTATTTGTTACATTGAAGCTAAAAGGTACATTAGGAGGGTGAATAAAACATCACTCAACAAGACAGAACTCAGCACAGAATAACATCGATTAAGATTAACGCTCTACAATAAATACAACAAAGTAAATTAAAAATGTACAAAACGAATGAAATAAACAATTTCACAATAATCTGAATTCACACTCACATTTGAGTCAACCTGATTTACTATGAGAGAAAGCATGTATCATGATGTTAATACAATATTAAGGAAACTGTAGTTTTAAAGCTTTGGCCACTCCACCTTCGTTAACAGAATCACGTGTCCAAGTTCATTCTGTGCGCAACTCTAACGATGAATAAACCAGAAGTGTGGAGAAGTGTGTGGTTCAATGATTTCCAGGTCCCTATGAAGTTTGTACGTACTTCAGCTTTGGCAATTAAGTAGTGAGTCTCATCAATCCCCGCACAATAAATGTGTTTCATGGTCTGTTTTTTATTCCTTTTACGTTCCCAGTGAAAAATAGGGCTTCAAACTAAAGGATGAAGTTTCGGTAGCAGTGGTGATTATTTTTACGGGATGGGGTTACTAGCCTCATGCCCAACCTTCCTTCTATACCAGCCTTATTACTGGCTTAGTGAGGTAAAGGAGTGTGTCCGTGACCGGGGATCGAACCCCGGACGACATGAGGAGTGGTCGGCGAGCATTCTACCGCTGTGCCACCGACGCACTGTCTCATGGTCTAGTCCATGAGAAATCTCTTCAAAGTAACTGACTTATAAATTACTAAGTAATCCCCACCCTCTGAGGTATCATACAACGAGTATATTTCACTGCAAGCCTTCAAGTTTATTTAAAATTTGGCCTACTGAAAACCTCTATCAATATACTGCAGATAATTCCTCTATCATTCAGTTGGTTTATTTACTTTGGCGAGTAATTAAAATATTTACAACCTGCTGTGATTCGCAAATTTCTTCTAAACATCAGGGAAAACGTTATCCTTGATGGCAGCTTATCCCTCTATATGAGCATAACTGTATTCGGGTTGTGTCTTTGAGTCCTAAAATGTCCTCCTAAACATTTTTTTATAATTGTCAGTCAACGGACTTTCATCGTGTATTTCTCGAAAGAGACAAAGAAGAGATATCATCTGTCTGTCTGCCTGTTTTCGACATAGAACTTTGCACCGATGTGCAGTAGTTCAAGTCACCACACTCCATGTAGCACACAAAGCAAGAGAAGAAAGCAGAAGAAATGCCCAATATAGACAGTAAACAGAGGTGTGAGACAAAGGAATAGTAATAACGGAGAGCGAAAGTTTCATTGGAAATCACAAGTCACAAGGAGTGAATGCATCTGCGCCAGCCATTGAGAACGATTTCGAGCCATGTCACCAATTGTTTCCAACCATTGGTTTTTACCGTCCCGAGGACAACAACCAGTCAGGGAGTCTACATCTTCCTACGTGGCTTAGACTAACTGTTGTAGATTTCATTGACTGGTGCCATGTTTTGGTTTGACCGCCGCTAGCTCTTTTCCAGCCTGACCCTATATCAGCTAACATTGCCCGTCGAGGAAGGCGATGACTAGGCATACGTAGTCGATGTAATTTCACGGTCTCGTCGAGTGATTTCCCCTCCCGCCTTACCTAGCACTCGACCGATGCCTAACCTCAATATTGCTCACCTTATTATACCACTTCACGCGGGAGATAAAACGCAGATATCATCATAATGGAATGGTTTGCGCATCATGTCAAACATACTCAAAACTGTATCACACGATCTACTGTCAATCAAATCTTTTATTATTTGAAGATCCTGAACGAAGAGAAAATATCGTAAACTACACTTATTGCTGAAAAGCCTGTACATTATATAAATATTGTTTCAGAATAAAACTGTTCCTATTAATAATTAATTAACTCACTCGAGGTGGTGTCTCTTTATTCGGAGTGCGGTTAGTAGTCTCACACTCAACCTTCCCACATTACCACGTTTGCTATCAGTTAGAAAACTAGGCGAGGTTCAGGATTGTGTCAGCCTGGAAATGAACCCAGGCCACTTGAATGGCTGGTAATAATAATAATAATTTGCTTTATCCCAGAAACAGTACTAGTGGTACAGTGTGGAATTTTCAGCACATATCTACAATATTTGCATCTAATTTTATCCGACGTTTAAAAGGAGTATTTCAGAAAAAATAAATATAAAGAAAAAACAGCAAAAAAACACAAAACGCACAAAAGAAAATTTTAAAAATGCGAAAAAATACCAAGAAGTATCAAGGAAAATAAACAACATAAAATAATATCTCAGTATTGGGTAGTGGAAGCTATGATATGATTATGCATGGTAGAATAAGAGACTGGACAAACTTTTTCTGTATACAGAGTTCAGGGTTGTATTGATGAATTGCTAGAGCCTCCGCCATATACAAAAGCCGAAACCTGACGGAGGCTCTAGCAATTCATCAATACAACCCTGAACTCTGTATACAAAAAAAGTTTGTCCAGTCTCTTATTCTACCTTGGTCTTAACCTCTTCGCTAATCGTTCCCTGTAAATAAAATATATTTTGAATTTTTTTCTTTTCATTCTAATTTCACTTTTAGTTAGCTTTTGCTTTAATAATTAATTCACTATTATCACTCTCATATGCTCCTTTTGTATATTTTCACACCCTCTTCACACTTGTTAAGTTGACACTCCAATACCTTTATTCGCACTTAATAGCAATTTTAACCTTATCAAATTTCTATCTTTTTGCCGTCGAGTACCACGTAATTTTCAACTTCTAATTTTCACTTCTAAAGCCACTTCTGAGTAATTATATCAACTATGTCACCCCTTATTATTCAATAATAGACCACTATATATTTTTGTAAGTATATTTAAGAATGCTTATCTCCAAGAAGATCAGTTAATTTGGTTGAAACAACTCTAAACAATCATAAAATAACATTTCAGGGTTGTTGTTTTGTTTTTTATTGTCAGGTCTAATGCAGTGTTTGTATTGGCAGTGTGAGTAATCCTGCATAATACAAAATTTTAAGATGGTGATAATGGCGTTCACAACCAATGATTGTCAGTTAATATTGCCGAAAAAAAATAGAAATAACAACCAAAAAAACTATGCATGGTATGCATTCTACCATTGATTGAACCGCCAACAAAAACATCACATTGCTATGATGACATAAATATAAGTTATTAAGGCTCGACGTTATCGATTAGGCTAGCTGGATTATATCAAAAACATCACTGACTCACTCACTCACTCACTCACTGAGTTTTTACAACATATTGTATAAAAGTGCACCAGTTCAACTCGTCACATTCGATACAAAGAAAGAAAAATGTCAAAAGGGATATAATGAACAGGAATATAAGGTAGAAAAAATAATTACAAGGCGAATAATAATGCGAATTTAATCGATCAGGAAGATTACAAAAAGTAAATCCATTTGCACAACTGGAAATGATGTTAAACATAGCCATTGAGAACAGAAGATATGAAAAGGCTAGCTAGCTGTCTTTGATCATAGGTGTCTGCGTTCTATCTCCCATGTTACCTGGTGGTATAATAGGGTGAGTAATATTGAGGTTAGGCATCGGTAGAGTGCTTAGTAAGGAGAGGAAATCAATCGACGAGGTTGTGGAGTTACGTCGATTGAGATGGTTAGGACGTGTGTTTCGGCATGTCTAACCATCGCTTTCCTCGACAGGAAATGTAAGCTGAAATAGGATGGATCAGGTTCGAAAAGAGCTAGTTAGTGGTGGTGGCCAAACAAAAGAACAGCTTCATCAGTCAATCAAATCCATAACGTTAGTTTAGGCCAGCCAGCTAGTCACTTAGGGTGGTGTAGATTTCCTGACCGGTTGGCGTCCTCAAGATGGTAAGAATCAATGAAGGCTGGGGACAATTGGTGATATGTTTCAAAATCGTTGCCAATGACAGCGTAGATGCATTCACTCTGTGACTTGTCATATCCAATATACATATACATATATATACGTATATATATATATATATATATATATATATATCTTAAATCTCTCTTTACTCTCTTCTCTTGAGTTGTATGGTGTATGGCAACTGGAACTGGTGCACATCCGTGCAAAGTAGTTCTATATTGGAACCAGTCAGTCAGTCAATGACCTTGAGCTACACCACCAATAGCCTCCATGTACCTAGACAAACGACAGTCAACGTCTCCCTATGTGGCTGAAAGTGACACTCAAACATACATGTGAGTACATTGATATGATTAAGAGTAATAAATTGTATTCGAAAAGTCATCAGTAAATATTACTGTATAATACTGTGTGATTTCATCGAAATAAAATTTTATCCATAATGGAATTATACTCTACCGCAGTGCTCAAGTTTTATCCTTATATCAATAAGGCAACAGCCTGATATTTATGCACAGCAGCCCACTGAACAGCAGCAACAGCAGCAGCTCACTGAATGACCAACTGGTTTCAACATACAACTTTGAATAGATGTGTACAAGTTCGAGATGCCACACACTCCCCTCCAAGTATCATAGAAACGAAGACAAAAGAGGAAATGTGAGGGACAAATAATCGTAACATCGCGAGACAAGAGGGTTTCATTAGATATGATAAATCATTAAGAGTGAATGCATCTGCGGTGTCATTGACAACGATTTTGAAACATATCACCAATTGTCCCCAGCCGTCATTGGTTTTTACCATCTCGAGGACTCCAACCAGTCAGGAAATCTACACCTCCCTACGTCGCTGGCCGGCTGGCTGGCTGGCTGGCTCAAACTAACTGTTATGGGTTTGATTAACTGATGAACCCATGTTTTGATTCGACCACCACTAGCTGTTCTCCAACTTGATCCTGTGTCAGCTAACATTGACCGTCGAGGCATCCGATTGATGCCTAGGCATGCCTAACACATATCCTAAACGTCTCAATCACTGTAGCTTCAAAACCTCCTCGATTGACTTTCTCTCCTTACCTAGTACTCGAGGCCTATAACCTCAATATTGCTCACCCTATTATATCACCTAACACGGAAGACAGAACGAAGACATCTACGATCACAGACAGCTAGCCTTCACACAACAGCAGCAAACAAAGGAGAATCATTAATATTCGCAAGTTTTTTTGGAAGCTGATGAATTGGTATTATTAAAGTGTTAGAGACGCCTATCATTTAGTTGTCCAGCATTTAGTAGACGCATATGAAACTCCATCATTCATGACTTAAAACACTTAAAATCCTATCACAAAATTAGTATAATATACGTAAACATTTTCAAATTATGAAACAAAATATACTTGATTCTCTGACAGGCTGATTGGAAAATAAAGCATTTTTGAACTTACGTTTTCAACATACTCTCTGAATATTTTATGCCCTTGTTCAAGTTGATTACGTTTCACAGATCTTGCTTCACGAAGTGATGCCTCCAAAGCTCTAAAAATATGCAGATACATGAATACAAAAATGGAATTATTACTAACTAAATTATTTGGTCTTTGATGTATCCACTCATTTTAAAGGCAATACCCAATGTAAGCTGGCATGAAGAGTGGAAATGTGAGTCAGAGCATGAGTTAACCATCGCAACTCAGGACGGTTATGATTATGTCATTTCCTCCTCTGGCTTCGTGTCTCTAAAGCGTGACGTTGTATAGACACTATTGCGACTATGAAAATTCCAATTCACTTTATGGTTATCTGTGACCTATTCATCTGTCAAGCTAATCTATATTACTCTATCCATATTTCAATTGGGCATCAACCGGCATAAACGTGAGTCTACAGTGTATCTGGACTATGGCTTTACCCAGAAGTCGATCACGTGTTTAAGAATAGAGTTTCTCACACTCTTTCTCTCTCTTGTAAAACCATTCACGAATGTGCTCACGTATCCGTGTGGAAAGCATTCTCTGACTACAGTGGATATATCTTGCTTCCAAAAGAACAGGTGAACTGACAGACCAGACGAGAGAACGTATCTTTTACACTAAGTGAAAACAACTTCAGAGATTTGCAGCATATAACATTTTACTGACATTTACAAAGATAACTTTTGAGCATATCTGAAGCCTGATGACCTATGAATTCCAGATTCATGAAGATGATTTTCTTTGGAACCGAGTTAGTGGCCAATTTAAAATGTTTCTTGTTAGTGTTTTTTGTCAATAAATCGGTTTGAGTAACCATTTTCGGCAAGCGCGCCTTTTACGAAAGAAAGTTCGATATCAACTCAATCAAAACCACAACTACTTTTTATTCTATAACAGAAGGAATGAATCAGATTTCTTTTCCTGGAAATAGGCAGGCAAATAACTATAGAAATTAGTTGGTTGTCCATTCCATGTACGTGTAAGATGGATGGATCTTTTAAGAGACCCATCAATACATCCAGTGAGGAAAGAATACACCAAGAAAAGGAATACTTATTTCAGATTCCTTTTCTATGGTAAATTGTAAGAATGGATGGTAATTGTTGAGTGAAAACAAAATATTATCAAGTACGACGTCTTTATCGCAGATAATGAATGTGTTGTCCATATTTCTTCTGAAATTATCAAAGCGACTAATACGTTTGACTAATCAGAGTGTTTTCCAGCTTTATAACACAAAACGTGATCAGCCAGCACAGTAGACCTATCATTACTCGTTAAAAATTTCATATCACGTTGTAAAAGCATCACTGATGTGACATAATTATAAAAAAACTCACCCACAAGTTGATGGACACCGTTCAACATCTCCATATTCATCACTTCCATCACAACAATCTGTGGAACGAAAACAAGAACTTAAGATTTAGTGTGAATGCCATAAAAGTACTTCATTAATTTTTGACTTCATCATGAGTTACATTTCGAAATAAACTACCAAAGTGTGAGAAATTTCATTGGCGGTCACTGAGTCAGACAACAGTATGAAAAAAGCCGTTATAAAATACTTTTTCCCAATTTATGGTGTAGGTGCCTGTTTCTGGACAGCTATGTTGCAGGTAAGTGATATACTTTCCTCACAAAAATGAACGCTCATAGCAGAAACTTGGGGTGTAATAACATAAACCAAGTTTCATAGCCACACTACAGCTGAGGTAAAAAATGTGTTAAAAACTGATCAAACGCGGAGGTTCAAGACGCACTTCAACCGCATGACGCCTTGTATTTCCCCTTAAAACATTTTATTCACTTATTTAGAACAGAATCAGCACTATGAAATGCGCTGTATTAACTTATAATGACCCAAATATAAGCGACAACGTGCATTTGTGTTGGTTTTCAAAGGTAAAGTGAGCATTTCTAATATACACTAATAATAGCTCAACTTGGGTATTTTGGTAGAATAAGGAATAAAACTACTAAAAGGTATGCAATCCCTGACAGTGATTAGGAATGATGATGCCACAGGATTGGAATACATCCACTCAATCCTAGCTTAAATACAGGCAGGAGTGAAGTGGTGGGGCATGTCGAACACTTCACGAACACCAGCGGATTGATAGCTGACGACACAGATACAGAAGGTTCGTTTCGCATATGCCACATTACGCCATCTCTGGCTTAGTAGACGTGATATCCAACTTTCGACCAAAGAACGTATGTACTGCACAACAACAGTTCTCTCCGTCATCCTTGATGGCTGTGAAGCATTGAAAGTGGGGGACATGAAAAGCCTGTCTAGCTTCCTTTGATCATAGGTGCCTACGTTCTATCTCCAATATTAGCTGGTGGTATAACAGGGTGAGTAATATTGAGGGACTGATATTTCTCTTTTCCTTCTCACCTAGCTGGAACTCTTCAAATGACATAGCAGGAGATTTCAAAAGCTAAGGATGAACTCCATCGCTTCGGGGGTACTGGTTCTCACACCGAGTCATAAACTCCTGGAACCAATTTCCAAAAGATTTCGTGCCATAGCCCTCAATTGACTCATTCAAGGGTTTAAAAAGGCAAAGAAACTTACTAGAAGAGGATTAACATAGACTTAAGCCTTCTCTCCTCAATCAGTAAATCTAAATCCGATTCCGAAATCTACAGATACTAAACATAAGGTATGGAGCAAAAATCAAAGCAAATTGTATATGTGTAAGAAATCATAACTGGCCGCCTGTGAATGTCCACTCTTGACTTAATACATCCCAAGCAACTACAACTTCTGGAACACTACAGACACTGACAATTTCGGTACATTAGGAATTTTTCTGGAATCCCTGATAACCACGATTGTGCGTGAAGTGTTCGGCGTTTGAGTAATGTGTGAAATTACTACATACAACCACCGTCAAAGTTGCAACAAATACAGTAAACACTTTGAACAGAGAATATAAATACTGGAGTTAGAACTTACCACAAACACTATCATTTACGTAGGCAGAAGGAAGTAAAACGGGTCTATATTGTAAATCACGACAAGAAAAACGACCGTTGAGACAAGCAGATGTACCAGGTTCATCTGAGCCGTCACGGCAGTCACAATAATCATCATTGACCTTCCACCATGATATAGTGGATGAACCATCCAAACAAGTAAATGGATGGCCTACTTGGTAAAATGACGATTCTGGAATTGGTGAGGTTAGGACTGCCTACAACTTACTTGACATTGGAACTCCATGTGGCAATTCAGCTCCCTGAATTACATTTACAATGAAAATAAACAGTGCAGATGAATACGGGACGCCCCACATTTCAAAGCAATGAAGTAACGCAGTTATTGAATTGGTGACACGATACAATATCCAATATCATTTATACGAGCAAGTGTAAACCAATTTGATTTCTTTGTGCTCGCTTCTTGATTGTGGGGTAAAGGTTCTTGGTCTCCGGTAAACTCCTGAGAAGTTCGTCCCACCACTCGACTGTCGTAGCTTTGGTTAACTCCAAAAGCTGTTCTGCTGGGATTGTCTATATGTAGTTTGTAGTATGCGGTGTGTTAAGACTTTGTTACTACTGTGAATAGAGTTGATCCTTTCACCAGTTAGTCCTCCGGTATCGTCGTCAAAGGAAAAGAGACAGTAGTACATATAATTAGTGTAGGTTATTCAGACTAAAAGACAGAAAAAGAAATAAAGAAAACGTAGGAACAGACAGCTAATTAAATTTGAAGTTGATATATGTATATACATATATAAATATATATGTACATAATATCAATAATAATAGTAGTAAGTGTAGTAGCCAGAGTTGTCAAGAAGGTAAAACGGAAGAGAATGTAAAGAAGTGAAACGACGAATTTAGTTTAGTTAGAATAATGTATGGGATTTTAAGGGGATAGGCCATTTGGACGCAGTCCTTGTGTCGCTGCACGATTGTCCATCTTTCGCTTAAAGGCGTCCACAGACGATGCCATAGCTACCTCTGCCGGTTAGGAGTTACACGGACAGCAAACCCGCAGGGAAAAGAAGTGGGATTTTATTGTAGCAGTAATTATACATGAGCAACAAAGATCTCTGGGAGCGAACCAACCAGGAACCGATTGAAACAAATAGGCAGGAAGAAATGGAGATGGATTGGCCATACTCTAATCAAGTATATAGACAGCTGAAGAATACGAACGCAATGGAGACGCATGGCTGAAACCCTATGTTCCTCTAGGAACTAAAGGAAATAATAATAATATAATAATAATAATTAAATCCCCCCTAAGACGACGGTAACTAAGTGTGAATAGGCCTAATTTCTTCAGCCTTTCATCATATGGTTTATTTCGGAGACCAACCACTCCTTTTGTTGCCCGTCGTTGGACTCTTTCCAAAAGGTTGGCGTCTCTTCTAAGCAGTGGGCGTGCAATAAAATTATGCACTTCAAGGTGTGGTTTTACGCATGTTTTGTCAAACCTTAGAAAGAGCTCAGGAGTGAGTGCACCTAACTGTCTATGTGTAAAGTGCATGACCGCATATGCCCTCGCTACATCCCTCGTGTAATTTACGCTTGTGTCCATTTTTTCCGTTAGAACTAGACCTAAGTCACGTTCCGACGTTGAGCAGGACAAGCTTTCATTGCACAGGGTGTAACTTGTATTCTGCAGTCTACAGGTGCGTAACTTCACTCCTTTGCACTCTTTCAGGTTGAAAGTCATGCCATTGGACGACACCCAGTCTTTCAGAAGCTTTCGATCTGCCTGCAGTCTATCTGAGTCCTCCGGACACTTTATCACCCTCCATATCTTTACGTCGTCAGTGTATAGAAGAGTCGGGCAGCTTAGACGGCATGGTAGATCATTGATAGAAATCAAAAACATCAGTGGTCCTAGGATAGAACCCTGCGACACTCCTGATGACGAGCTGTGCCAAGATGATCGAACTCGATTGACCTTAGTGCAAAATTGCCTTTCAGCTAGGTAGTTCTTCAACCATGACAGAAGCGGCTTACCTATATCTGCCTGACTTATTTTGTGTAGGAGTAGGTCATGGTGAACAGCTTCAAATGCCTTCTCAAAGTCTAGGAAGACCACATGGACTGAAACATTCATGTCACGGAAGGTTGTCCAATCGTCCCAAGATGATAATAATAAAAATTCATATTTTCATATAAACATATAAATTTACATGAAAATGCATGCCATTTTTACAGGCACGATCAAGTATGATATAATGTCAAATAGTAGATTGTCTACAAGTTAGTAATGTTTGAACAGTTAAATATTTGATATATGTATAAATACACTCTTTGTCTGACCCATGTCGTATCATTATTGAATTAAACAGCAGTCCTCCAGGTTGCGCAGGAAAATCGACTTCATTTCGTTTTCAACCCGCAGTTGTAGGCATACGATAACCAACCAATATTGAGGTAAGTAAAACGTTTGCAAGGGATAGTAAGGTGTTTTAGAAAAGTAAAGGTGCTAAGGTGAATCATTAAAGTGCAATAAAATAGGTAAGTGCAATGTATCATTAATAGATGCATTCAAAAAGGACATACAATGGGAGACTATAATCCCTAGGCTGACAAAGTATATTTGCAGTGTATAATGTTACCTATATAGGTCTTACTATCATGTTGTCCACTTTTGGTTTTAATACAATTATCCACAAGCCGGTTTTTTTTATTACATACCTTTTTCTGTATTTGGTGCACAACCGTCTCCTATAGAGAATAGGAATAGAATAAGTCGAATCAAATTCATAAAGAGCTATAAAATGTTAGGTTTAGTGGAATATAATGAGCAAGCGAAGACGTTATTAGAAAATGAATGAGATGAGACATTGTCAAGTGATATTCGAAGATACGACAAAGGAAAGCATGTTAATTTATAAGATGCCCCATAAATCTGTGCAGAGCCCACGTGGTCGCATCTCAGCAATGGGCTGACTGAATGGTATATGTTTAAAGGTAGAAGCATGATCTGTCTAGGCGATCATTATTATCTTTTTCAAGGTAAAGATTCAAGCCCTCATAGTAGGTGTGGTATTAATTCTCCTTAAATCAGTCAATTCGATCAGCCCAGCTTGTTGGTTATCACTTCTTTAATGTTTTGTTTTACTTCGATCTGTTTAGTAGACAGTTGAACTCAAACCAATCAGAGTATTTTGTGAACTGTTATTTTGCTGACCCATGTCTTATTTTGTACTATTCTCTTGAGTTTATCTTATTTATTGATTGGTCAAGTAACCAATTAAATTCTATCTTTGTGCCTATGCTCTGTCTATCTCTTACTTGGGTTCATTCTTCTACTGACTGCTTAGCTGAACGGTCGTGTCTGATCCGGCCAGTTCGTAATTTGGTTTAACGTTATCCTCTCTGATAGCGGTGCCTTGCTTTCTGTTAAGCATTGTGTATTGTACTCTTGAAACCGTTAAGGTTTGTTGTATTTATATTAATTGATTTGTTTATTAATAGTACCGTGGAAACAGTGACCGGCTTCTTGTTTGTTCTGGACCGGGATAGCCTTTATCTACGCGTGACTTAATTTCAAGCGATATTGCGCTTACAGTAGGTTTGTAACACAAGATCTGCCTTTCCTGAAACCGTGCTGGGCTTCATGGATTCTATTAGTCCTATCGAAGTTCTCTCTGATTTGATCATCAATAATACTTTCTAGTACTTCTTGTACCACTGGGAGTAGGGCTGCTGGTCTATAGCTAGTGGCATCTTGACTATCCCCACTCTTGAAAATAGGAGAAAGGATGGCTCTTTTCCACTCCTTTGGCAGTTTCCCCGAATCCATCGAGTGTTGGAACAAGTCGCATAAGGGCCTACAGAGAATTTCGGCGCACTGTTTCAGAACAGATGGCCTGATGTCGTCACAACCTCGGGACTTTCCAGGTGTGAGTCTCTGTAGCTTCCTAAGTACTATTGCCTGGTTTTTTTAGGGAATAGCCAATAGGTTTTACTCCGGTGGAATAGTAGTGGCGCCATTTGAGTCTGTACCAGTAATCCCCCACACTGCTGTTTGACTGTTTGGCGGAGGCTAAACTGAATGTTTCCGCCATCTCCAGACAAGTGAGGTATTGACTGTTAGGACCTACTAAGGCTCATGCCCCCTGGCTGGAATTTTTCCGACATGAATCGATACAAGCTTCTAGGGTTAGCCAGGAGATTTTTGGCACGGTTAACCTGAAATGACCTCCTTTCACTCCTGCCTCTCACGTTCACCGGTTCTTGAGTTCCAGTTATGAGTCGTGGTCGGTCTGACTCTTGGATACGCACCACGTAAACCAAGCCTTCCGCTTTGCTTGCAGAATACACTGCGTGCCTCTCTTCAGCAATGATGACATTCTTTTGGGCTGTGTTGTGACTTAAGGGATGGCACCCGATTTTGCTGTGCGAATAATCTCTTTTGCCACTTCCCAGTGTTCATCCACAGATAACTCATCCCACGCTGGGGGACATTCTGCGTCGGACAAAAGCCTCCACATTTTAGCATGGTCCGCATTGTTATAGCACAGACATGATCGCGTAAAGTCCCACTGCAAGTGCTCACGGAGAACAACATCGAAACCTATGACTGCATGCTCACTACTTCCTAGAGGAGTCATGATCTGGACCTTTTCGACAAGAAGTTGGTCACTAGTTAGAATGTAGTCTAGTTTCGATGACTTTCCACTAGGGCCCCACCTAGTGTCGTCTCCAACGTTCTCAGTCAGTCCCGTGTTCCGAATAGCTTGCAGTAGGTTTCGGCCGAATTTTCCCTTAGCATACCCCGAGCCAAGGTTCAGTGATGGGGCATTGAAATCTCCCGCTATGGTGATTTGGTCATAGCCCAAGTCTCGTATCCGTGTGATAGTGCTGAGAAGTAGCTGGTTGTGCTCTACCCCACAGGTGGGTGATTGGTAAATGGTTGCTGTGGCCTAAAGTGAAATGACACCATATGGAGTCCGGGAGTTCAATAAGTGGTGGGTCCATTGCACATACACATTTTAGTTGCTCGTCAAAGTATATGGCGACTCCCTCCTTCCTTATTATCCCTGTCTCTCCTGACCAGAACCGTTTCACCTATACTGATTTCGTTTTCACTGATAGTGGGGGTCGGCCAGGTTTCAGTAAGGATAACTATTTTAAGGTGTAGGTGTGACCGGAGGTTTCTGAGTTCACCTACTTTCCCTCCAACCACTCTCACATTGCTATATAGGCAGCTGACAGTCAGTCTAATAATCTCAGCATGTTGTGGGGTATTAGGCGTTAAGTTGTCCGCTGGTAGAGGACTTAATACTGAGGCTAGTTGGCCGATTCAGAAGGAACTGGATTGTTGCCGTTTTCCTTCCTTGGATTCAAGTAGGACACTTGGAAGACACTGACTGTCATTCTCAGTA